ACCAAAAAATAAATTAGTATGAAGTCTCAGTGAGACAAATCACTTTCACTTAGATGATACCAAAATCATTGATGCCAAAGTCCATGTCAAAAACAATTAACGCAGAGAACTCAACACCCAAGAAAGCTTACTAGCAAACCTTTAAAAGAAACATCACATTGAAGTCCAAATTAGACCGTCTAAAACATTACATTAGTAAAGCATAAATATTTTAAAGCAAGAACCATGTATTAATATGTAAGCAGAAATAATCACACAAAAAAAAGAAAATGCACTTCCATCCCTCGTTTTTCAGAGGAAATGAGGAATTGGAATTACCTGTTGGGATCACACCTTAGGCGTTGAAGGTGAAAAGATGGAGAATGGTGTTGATGGTGTTGATGAAAGACGGGTGGATGAGGGAAATTCGGTAAAAGTAGGGATTTTATCCCCTTTTTGTGCATGAACCATGTATTAATATGTAAGCAGAAAGAATCAATTTTATCCCCTTTCTTTTGGCATTTTATCCCCTTTTTTTGGCATTTAACCCCTTGATTTTCCCTTATTTTAACACACGTTTAATTTTAAATCTTTTTTTTTAGCTTATTATGTTAGTATTTATATTATTTTATTTTATGATATAAATTTTTTATAACAATGGATTTTATTTTGGTAAAATTGACTATGGTGAATCATTGAGACTTATGAATATGGAGAATCAATGTGTATTTTCTCAGTAATGAATAACCGACATTTAGACAATGAATAATGTTATGCAATTATTGAAAGATGAATGATGTAGAATGTATTCGTTTTATTGGTGAATATGCATGCATAAGGTGATGCGTAATATATGATTACTGATGAACAGGAATTTCATTGTTGTTTTTTGGCAGATGGTGTATCATCTTATTAAGATTTTACGATGAGTATTTTATTTTAAGTTATGAATAACGAGTTGTTATTGATGAATAACATATAATGCGCTTATTGGATGATGTTTCAACTCTGAGGAAGAGGCTTTTGCTACTTATAATATCAACATTATGGACGTGATGAATAATAATATTCTTATAGTGACAACGTTATGGACAAATAAATTTAAATTTTGTAATGAATAACGATATTCACAAAGATGAATAACGATGCAAACCTAATGAATAATGATCTCATCCTAAATGAATAACAATATTACAATCAAGAATAGTTGTAGTTTTACAAGATGAATAATTGTACTTTAATGAATGAATCATATACGTTACTGGATGAATGACTTTGATAACAAAAATATACATTACAATGGGTTAATATTAGCAACTAAACTAACAAACTTCTAATTATGTATTATACTAGATAAAAAATGAATAGTCATTGTTTTTAATATATAAGGTCTTGAAGCATTTGCCGATATTCGATACACGTTTATGTTGATTGTTTGATTTCAACAACTCTGGCAAAATATTTAATTCCCAGCCGATCGACTTCATCTTGATGAGCATTTCTTTGTTGCTGATCAAACAAAAACAACATTATAATAAGTGAGATTTTACATTCAATCAAAACTCTGTTAATCATCAATAACAATACTATTGAAGATGAATAATCATTATTGGACGATTTTTTAATTGTGTTAATTAATATCAACGTATTAGATGTATCACAAAATTAATGAACAACTTTTTGTGAATTAATAAATAACTGTACATAGATGATGAATACACATTTTGACAATGACAAGATATCATGTACTTTTTTCATATTATAAAATTGAAAAATTAATAATCATTGTCGATCCAATGAATATCATCCCTTCACGGATGAATAGCACAAGAACACAATATAATAAATACCAAACACCAATCTGATGAAGAAAATTAATTGATGCATAATACATAGTTATGGTAAACGATATATCTGACAATTTCAATAATGAATAATTATACAAAACTGATGAATAATTATATATATCTAATACATAGTACATAACTGGTTTTATGTTCTGTTCCTTGCCGACCCAATGAATAACATCCATTTGCGGACAAATATCCAAAAAAAAAAACAGAATCTGATGAATACCAAATACCAAACTGGTGAAGAAAATTAACGAATGGATAATACATATTTATGGTCAATGATGGATCTGACAATGTCAACAATGAATAACCATATTAGACTAATGAATAATATCCAGATCTACTAATTTACCAAACTAATGAATAATTATACCAAACTGATGAATAATACAAACATCTAGTGATTTACCAAAAAACAATCCTAAATAGTTATGGTAAACTATGAATCCGATAATTTCAATAATGAATAATTATACCAAACTGATGAATAATACAAAGATCTACTAATTTACCAAAAAGAAAAAATACTACATAGTTATGGTAAACAATGAATCTGACAATTTCAACAATGAATAATTATACTAACCTGATGAATAATACATAAATCTACCAATTTACCAGAAAAACAACATCCAATCAAAAAACAAAACTCTAAATTTGATGAACAAACATCGTCAACCGAGTGAATATAACTTACATCTATGCACAAAACTAAAAATTAATGAACAAACATCTCAAATCGAGTGAAAATACCTTAGATCTACATAATCCAACCATGAAAACACATCGATTGTTGAAGAGAATAGTAGTATTACCTCACTTCTTCATCATCTTTTGATGTGCTGATACTCGATTCAGATTCCTCAATCGCAGGCTTCTATATGAATATTTCAGAAAACAAAAACGACATTATTAGAACTTGATCGATGCAATAAACACACAAAATCGATGAATTAGACCATATATTACCTTAAATCTCAGTCGGAATAGAGTATATCGCAACCCAAATCGCTGGATTTGTTGCACAATATGATTTCCTCTTCGAAAGTACCACATCGGGGAGCTTTTTGTCGCCGTATCTCTTCAGGAATGGATATTTGCTTTTTCTGAATTTTTGGTTTGAGACATACTGGATTGAATCGAAAAGAAAGTTGGAGAGGGTTAATGGCTGGAAATTAGGAGCAAACAGCGGTTACCGTGATTTGAAAATAAAAAGTTGCAAATAATGGAGGTATTAATGGGCGCGTGTAAACAATCGGATGGCATTGTTGTAAATATTAGGAGTCCCCCTTTTTTGGTCACGTGAGTTTCACGTAGGTGTACCTAGAATCTATATATTATAATTGAGTGGAAACCCAATAACAAAACTTTGTCGTTAGGGTGGTCGGGGGCTGCAAAACGTGGAAGCCAAAGATGACGTCGTTCTTTTTTGTGCGGGGTTTTTTTGAAACCGGTACCAAAACGATGTAGTTTTTTCAGTCCGACGTTTCAATTTTTAATCAGTAGGGATGACCAAAATTACGTCGTTTTGCAGTCCTGGGTTTTAATTTTGATTCCAGACACATCTAATAGTTAAATTTATCGTTTTAATCCTACTTAACACGTGGCGGTGAAATTAATATATGCCATTGGATTGAGGACTATGAACGGGCGAGATCGTATCTGATGAGTGAATATTTTCACTCAATATTTTTCACTTAATATCTTTGCCCTAAATACTTGTATTCAAGTAGTACTAGGATTACTATAGAGTATAAACCCCCAAACCATACAAGAAGTAAATGCAAATAATTTAAATTAGGGTCCGCTAAAATATTTTTTTACAATCTCCATTAATGTATTCAGAATCCAACGCTAACAAAAAAATATAAAAACACGACAACATTAATTATTATAGAAACAAAATCAAAATCTTCGACAATACCCACAAAAACAGATAGGACGAATTCATAATATTAGATTTTTTTCCGTCTCAAAATTAAGATACAATAAATTTAAAATTTTCAACATAACATTTGGCACTATTTCAACTTTGAATGAAGACAGCAATCATCAAAACGCAGTACTGGGGTCAATACAGTGATAATGAAAATTTATTATTTCCTCACTTTGGTAGACATTATTGTTGGCAGAAAATCCGTACATTCATCTCCCTTCACTCTATTACCATTTAAAAGTTTTCTGACCAAATTCTAACAATTCAACGTATATATACAAACCTTATAACTTCCGAAATTCTCATCCATTCTGTCAATCAGCTCGAAATTTTAACTCGCCGGATTCTCAGTTCCCGAGGAGAGCTCGTCTGCCAGTCCCAAAGATCGTTGGTAAATTACTTTGAACTTTAGTATCTTGATCTAATTTTAAGAAGTTAATGTAGACCTTCTTATTTCTTTTTTATTTTGCTGTCTGTATCATGTATGCACAAACATGTTTTTTCTCTATCCTTTTTTTTAATCATCATATTTTCTTTTAAAATTACTTATAAGATTTGGAATTGGAAGAATGAACTGATCATGGTCTTGAACCACTTCTTTTTCCATTTGAAAGGAAACCCATCGATATCAGATTATTATTATGTCGTTTTGTTGGTTAAAGTGAATTAAGAGTGAATGTAAGTGATGACCTGGATAGTCCTGAATCCAGTCCACAACTGGAATTTCGTTAATTCTTCCTTCCGGGATACAATATTGGGCGCCATAGACTCTGGCCGATCTATATTTTTAAGGATTTATCTTTTGAGAAGAGGTCAAATTCGTTGCAGAGATTGTTTTATCCGGTTTATACAAAACGCAAAATCATTTTTTCCTTGTTTTTTCTATCATGATATTAGATAGCTGATTGTTTTTATGGTGTTTCACTCTTTATTTAAATAAAGAAATTGAAAAAATTGATCTCACATTGAACAAATCTTTTATTAGACGACTGAAAATTGTATTTATCATTTTAGATTTTGATTTTAATTCTCAAAGTTAATTCCCTTAAATCGTTGTGTTCTTGAACGTCAATCACCTGGGGACATTCATGAACCATGCATTAAATTCTAAAGATACGCTGTATAAGTTGCACACTGTTAATGTCACTATAATTAGTACAATTATTTTTTATCTGATTTATTTTATTTCCATCAATTGAATCACTTCTAATTCAATTTCAACATTTTTCCCTGTAAAAGAAACATGAGCTTCGTTGGAAACAACATGAGGAGTACTCATCCTTACCTTAGGAGATCTTCCTCAACAAATAATGAAACAGCAGCAACAGCAGAGTCCAGCCGACGTAGCGGAGCCGGAGGTCCGATCCGTGCCAATACCCGGCCGGCGGCCACCCTGGCCACGCGAGCCAGCAGGGTAGGAAACAACTCATCTTTTGCTGGATACCCATCATTTCTTCGTCCCGCGGATCCAAGGCCTCGGCCGGACGAAGGAGCTGCTAGTGGTTTTAGAAATCATATTACTCAGAGTACGCTGGATGCTGCGGCTAGGGCACCAAACATCTTGCTGCCAATGACGGACACTCAAGGCCGGACCCAGTCAGTTGTCGTCAGGCCATATTCACGACCGTACGATCAATCTCGGCCCGGTTTGCTACCACCTGTGCTTGTGGCCCTTTTTCAACGGCCTGATCCAAACAATCCAGGACAGACTGTTTTGGAATACTACCCACCAATAACGCTGCTGAATTTCGGACACAGTACTCGAACCAGTACTATTCCGCCCCAACCGCCGGTCCGGAACGAGAATGTCCACCAAACAAATCCCTCATCATTTGTCGGACCATCAATCCTCCATGGAGCGAACAACAGGTGTCAGATTCTCCAAGGCGGCCTTCAAAGCGGCCGAAATAGTAGTACCGGAGGAGGCGGAGGAGGAGGGGGGTTTTTGGCGCGAGGAATGGCGCGAAATAATATCCCGGCCGCATTGCCTTCTGTGGATCGGGTAAGGGAAGCGCTTCGTAATCATAATTCGGGTGTGCCGGCAACGTTTGATCGGAACGTGGAGTCGGCGAATGGACGTTTGCCAGGGCGAAATGAACCATTTGGTAGGACGGCGGAGGCGACGCCGTACCTTGACTTGGTGTCGTCGGACGATGAGGAGGAGGACGACGACGAAATGGACTTGGCGGCGGCGGAAGACATTGCCCTGATTCATGCATCTCGGTTAGCTCGTCCGTACATAGAAGAGCGCCGCAGCCAAATTGAGGCTGCATTTCGAGCCACCCTTTACTCCCAGGTTTGTTTTCGCAGAAATCTATGTCATGGAATTAGCTATTCTTATTATTATTATTATTATTATTATTATTAGGAAAATGATACTCTTAGTGAAAGAAAATAGTAACAAAATATAGTGACTAATGTGGAATAATAATGGCCTTTAGTTTATTGCTATTTTTCCCTTGAAATTTTATTTTTTCCCAAAATTATATTTTTACCCTTAATTAATAAATAGACATGTATAGCAAGTAAGATGGTGTATTTGTCTTTTTATTTATCACTGTATATTTTCACTGTACTTAGTCACTGGATATATCATTGCAGTTATTATTATTATTATTTTTCAATTATATTCACTGTGTCTCTGTGATAGATCATATGCATAGACATAAAAGTAGTTCATTTTGTAAAATTGTTTTAATTCAATGAACTAGAATATTTTTCTGTATTTCTTATCTTCTTTGCAAATAGGTTAGCGTTAGACCAGTACCGATCATAGCTAATGAGAAAAATATTACTGTATCTGATTTTTTATTCATAAAACATAGTTGGTGGTATTTTCCCCAAAAGACTTAATTTTGTTACATAGCTTACTTCATTAACCTAGTTTTCATTAAATTTTTAGGCCATTCAGCCAGCTGAGAATTCCGTCACCGACTCTGCACATCCGAGTTCATCTTCCCGTAGTCAGGTAATATTAATTCATGTAGATTATAATTCTTCCACAAAAATTGCTCAAACAAATTGAAAAAGAAAAGGAATTTATACCATATATATTTTGGTTAACGCACAATTCTCATTTGAATGCAATTATTACATGCTAATCATATTGTTTGTTAAATTTTTTGATTAGATAGCCCAGGAACGTGTTAAAATGTTGATATCATATCGAATGACGGAGTTGCTGAGGAATCGCAAATACCAACCAAAAGAAGGGGATCTATGTCCTATTTGCTTTGTAAGATGAAGGGAAAACAAAAAAAAAACCTTTATAAATTTCCATGCCCTTTTCTTGGATATTGTATCTTGATGAATTGTCCGTAACTGAAGTAAAATGCTCCTTCTATGGATAATATATTGTCCTATTTGTTGTATTACATAAAATAGTAATAAATATAATGAATATTTTGATAGGTACTAATTAATTATTATGTACTTTTGTCTTCTTGCAGGAAGGTTTAGTAACTGGGGAGTGTCCAATCAAACTGGATTGTAGCCATTGCTTCCACATTGGCTGCATCAAGGAGTGGCTGGATATTAAGAACATCTGCCCGTCGTGTAGAGCTGTTGCCCTGAATTGAATGTGTTGACTGATTTTATTTTTTTTTTAATACGTTTTTTCTTCGTTAAATTACTAGCGTAACAGCTAAAAAACTAATTTCTTTCTCTTTTACTTTCTTAAAGTGAACTTTTGAACAATTAATTAAAGCTGCTTAATTTTGGGATCCTTTTTTTCACTTTCGCACATCATTAGGATAAATAATTTTGAATTGCTTTATTTATATTAGTTTTTAGGAGTATTCTGAGTTGGGTTGGTGGATATAACAATGTTCAAATGATGCAAACTATCTATCTTCTGATGCATGCCTCTATTATATGATGAATATGTTTATTCTCAATTTTCATTTGGTTAGAACCATAATTTCAGGCATTAATAGGCAAAAGGCTTGAAATTTCCATCTAGAAAGTAATGTGACAGAACAAAGTTTTATTGTCCAAAGAGTTAATTGCATGGTATGAAACACAGAAATACAAATTGAACAAAAATCATAAAAAATGTCAACTTGCGACTAGCCGACTAGGGCACAGATTTAGTCATGGACATTTGGAATTTCTGCCTGGTCCACCATAGTAAAAGAAACTCCCCCAATCATCATTCTTTCCAACTGATATATTATAACAATTTTCATAAGAAACGATGGTACCAATATTACCACCAAGAGGAGGCCCAAATACCATTGTCTCATTCATAATTTCAATATTCCTGAAATAGCTTGCTCTTTCAAACTTTTCATATGGGAACTGGCCATTCCCCATTTGAGTTGCAGTATGTATTCCGTTTGTATTGTGGTTTACTATCTCTCCACCCCATTCGATCAGTTGAGCACTGTCATTTAGGCGATTAAATAAAATGGCTGGCCAATAACCCAGTTGAGTCCCATTGTATTGTAGCCACCACACATCTTGTTTCTTGTCCTACAAAATTTTCGACTGAAATTAGCAATTAATAAGAAACACAAATATTCCCTCCAGTATTTATTATAAGTCATTTTGATTTAATCTAGGTTTCACTTATTGTGTTTTTTCCAATTGAAATTTTAATTATTAGAAACACTTTAATAACCAGAACAACACAACAAATGCAAAAATACATATAAGGTTTTATTTTCAATCAAACGAACATAATAAATGAAATTTAGAATTAATTAAAATACTTATAATAAGGACCGGAGGGAACATCTCAATAAAATGACGCAAAAGTTTTTGCAATTAAAAAAGTTCATATATACCATCCAAACAAATAGAGAAATTTCTGAAAAGGGATGATCAGAGGAGAAATTGGCGATGGCGCCCCCTATTACTATTTTGTTGTTAACCTGAACAAAACCTGGGCACCCCAAGTTCCAACACCCGGTCGATCCATAACCATCGGTCTGTCATTAAACCAAAGCAAGAATTATCGATTATTTCAAGAGTAATTGACTTACTACTCTTTTCACCTTGAGATAATCATTTGGTATGAGTTTTATTTATAATACAAATTATATTTAAAATGAAAATTTAAACGGAGTAATAATTATTAACAAAAAGAGTAAAGCAGATATGTAACGTACTAACGCATTATAAAGTAAGAGATTATATAACAATAGAATAATTACTTGGACACTTACCGTCCAATACGTGAAAAGTCTCGTGCGATTATCTCCCAGTATACGAGGATAGACCTGTTATTTTGTACATAATTGGTTAACAATAATGTGTGATAAATGTTGCACGGTTTTTTTAATCACAGTAGTTTGTTTCGATACCGGTTCATTTCTCGAATTATGTCCTCTGCGAAACCATATAACTGATACTTATTAGCTTATAAGTACCAGTTAAAAAAGTTGTATTTTTCAATTGATAACTGAATTACAAAGTTTGGGAATTTAGCAAACTCATATCCGACGCTATATATGCATTGATGATTAGGTCAACCGCTAGAGTATAACAAAATCAGTGAATTGATAACTGCCTTTGTCAGTTTTCTTTTTTAGTTGGTTTTTTCAGAATTAAATAATCATAATTGTCTCATCCTAGCATATATTTTTAAATTTTCGATAAATTTTTTTTACATTCCTAATACAAAAAACACCTAAAAACACACATTAAAAAAACAAAACGAAGATAATCCTTTTGCCTTCGGGTTGCTTGGCATGCAAATAATTAGTGGATATGTTCCTTTTTTTTTGGTCTAATTAAACGTATATATTCTTTTAAGAAACGCCTCGAATAGTGACATGAAAATTAGTCATTCATTTCCTCTTAGCTAGTAGCTATGTATAATTTTCCACTTCGAACAACTTGAAAATTAACATCGACAAATGTCAAATAATTAAAAGAAACTTACAACCCAGCCAGCTTCAATTGAGTTGAGGCCTAAATCACCATCTGCAAGGATCCAAAGTTGAGACAAGCTAAATTCATTGTCCCCCTCAACAAAGGGTTGCCATGCAGTTACATTAAACCTTGTTCCATAATACTCTCCTCTTTCGGCAACAGTTGCAACTGCGTACTAAGTTCACCAAAAATAAATAACAAGAGAACCCTTTAAGTAATATTGAAAGAACTTTTTCCGTAATGAGTATGTGAAGAGGAAATGGAAAAGAATATTAAAAACATACAAAACTTTTAGTTTTGACTCATACAATTTTTCCGCACTTTACATTATAGGGTCTGAACCCCTGTTTATAGTCCACATAACCTTTAAACTTTCCACATACTTCTACTACACACTAAATGTGTAAATATTTATTTTTATAAGATCCAAATTTTTATCTTAGATTAGATATTTCTATGGTTTATTCTACAAATTAAGCACAATTAATTTCTTAATTTTATCACTACTTTATTCCATCATATTTTATAGGCAAGTTTGTAACAAGTGGACATTTACTTTTTATATAAATCTAATGGCCTAATATTGTAAATGCAACTAATTGAGTTGGACTCTTACAAAGTGCAATAATGGTCGAATAGTATAACTTGGGCTGTCCAGTATAATTAATCAGTTGATGAATCATGTTTATACAATAATAAGACGGATAATCAATTTAAAAAACTCTCCAAAATGTAGTATGTTCTTCACTTACGATATTCTTTATTAAAAAAGAAACGAGGTTCAAATTAAAGATATATAGACTTTGAGTTTTGGATTTGGAACCTCGTGACCAGAAGTAGCGCCAAGCAAGTTCCTCCCATTTGAAGAATACGACCGAGGATTAGTGCTTCTGTGCTTCTTCTTATTGGAATTAGCTTTGAAGAAATCCTCTTTTGCATCTGTTCTTCTAATAGGAATGGTTCCATCGGGGCACTCCCCGCTGAGTTGCCATATTTGGGTGATCCTGTTTTTGTTGGTTTTTGAGTTGACATCCGACGATTCGTCCTTGACAAACAATTCTTCTGGATGATTGCTCGGTCTAATCTGCCAAACAACAAATTTGGTAATTTTAATTTTTTTTTCCTACCCATAAAATAGCAACATATTGATTTTTTTTTTTCTTTTCCAGATATGAAAGAGTATAAATTTTATTTTTTGTGAACCAACACCCCATTAATATAACCAATGACCCAATAAATTGACCGATTAATATTTTCAATTTAATTTCCGTGACATGGAATTTAGTCGACTGCACATAGCCCGGGGATTGAAGGAAGCCAAAAGGAAAAACATTAATAAGGGGACTACAGCTCATGTCAAACCTTTATCTTGTGGTTTTTAAGCAACGGATGATCGAATGCAGGTTGATGAAACATATCAACACAATCGATCACATCTCCATCTTCACTCTGTCATAAAAGAGTTCAATTAAGTAAATAAACTTGGTCGACATTTCTAGGGATTTTCAATTTTGTGCTTGCCTTGAGAGTACGTATGTGACAAGGAGAAATGAAGTTAAAAAATAAAAAAAATAAAAAAGAGAAGAAGAAGAAGAAAGAGAGAGAAAGAAGTAAAGACTGATATACAATACATATTTGTTTTTCTCAACACATGACCAATCGATTCTGAATTGGATCATACACATCTTATGAGTTATTTTGAACTTTTTTTGCTCTCACAAGTAAGGTGACTACAAATTTTAAATATTTTTTGGAAAAATGTTTCTAAATCATAGAAACAATTATAACCAGAAAGTAATTAGTACAATGTCATGCATCCTTTTCTCTTTGGAGAGAAGAACAAAACGAGTTACCTTGATGGACTTAAGAATGTGATTTGATTGGCGCTGCCTCGAAGCATTACATAACATAACACTGGCAAACAAAAGGATAGTGATGGCATAAAAGAAATGCAACTCCTTAAGCTTCATTTTTCCAAAAAGTCAATGAGTACCAAGTTAATACTTCTTATAAGAAATGATCATCAATGGTAGATAAAGATGTTAATTTATATATTTTGCAGTCAGTGTTTATTCGTGCATTGATCTTTCAGTACATTAATTGTGTGTGTTGAGTTCGTCGTCATGAAGTCTATTAAATTGCAGTTTATACCATGCCGACTTGTTGCAATAAACTTCTTTTAGAACATAGGATTCATGTTATTCTTTCTGAAAATAGATTGAGGATATGAGAAAAATAAAAAAGCGTTTTCACATTTAAAAGACAAATATAACAGGTTTGCACGAAATAGTTTTCAACACTGAATTAATCACCTTCAAGAAAACATTGAATCGTCCGGAGGGGGTTATCATTTTTCCTAAAGCCAATGGAGTAGCCACAAAGAATTTTGGACAGCTCCTTTGGAGCCAAGGATAAAACCGTCTGAAAAAAGTTGAGTTGAAACGGGTATTCTATAGATACGTTTCTTCGTTCGTTAGTCGACGTTACTTTAAATAGTTGTTAACGTTCCCAAAACCAAGTTTAGCACTTGTATAGATGCCACAAACTAATAGCACTTGTTTACATGGCCATAAATCCTTTTTTTTTTCTTTTCTTATTCTAAAATGAGAGTAGGAATTAACGCCAATATCTGTCGTCATCTTGTTTAGGTTTAAAGCATTTCTATCATTATGTAATAAAGCACGTGCCTGATAATCTATTTTACGTTCGCCAAATAGTAGGCAGAAAGAAGGTTTCTTTCCCCCTTACAATTTTTTTTTTCTTTTTTCGTTATTTATGTAAAAGTTTAGCTCATAACTAAAACTAGCCCAAAATGAGGAATAGATCGTCATTCATCTTTCTTTGCAATTGCATCCAATTCTTGGAACTTCCAATCAATTTGATTTATGCATGTTGGAGAGCTGGAATAATTATGACATGAAAACAATGAACATTTTAAGAACTCGCCAACTGTGGATTTTCAGGGGTTAAATTTCGCGTGTTATAATTAGCATTTTCCGCAATCATTACTAAGAACAAAGCTACAGAAAAAGGTAATAATTACAAATTATAACTGAACATCGTCATTAGAATTCAATATCTACTTAATATAAAGAGGGAATGTCTTTTTTTTGGCACGGTTAACTGGAGGTTGCAGGTGTTAATGGATGACATCAAGTATGTATTCGACCGCTTTACCCCTTCTTTTGCAAGTTGGCTTCTTTGTGGTGACCTTTTTACCCAGTGGCCAGTGACCAATCTTCTCCACAGCTTCTTTGTTTATTGAACCTTTTTTTCCCCCTTGATAGAATCCATAAATTGTATTTTAATTGTTGATATTTTATTAATTATGGATTCAGATGGATTTAATTCATTAGTTTTGTTATTATTTCATGTTAGGAGCTGAAAATAAGAGATTGAATCTGATTTGGGCTAATTTGAACATTTAGGGACCTGTTTGTAAAATTAAAGAAGTTTTAGGACAAAAGTGATAAAAATGCAAACTTGGAGGACCAATCCAAAAAATTCGGATTTCTTTTTTCTTCTCCAGCGGCTGACCTAATTTACTCTTTTAAATAGACTTTTAGTTTTATTTTATGAGAGCAGCCGTGTGGAGGCCAAGCAAGCTCCTCCAACCCTTTCATTTTTTCCAACTTTCTTTATTTTTCATGGAGAATAAAGCCCTCATGGTTGCATCCATGAGTGACTAAACTTTTCTTTCTGATTCAAGGGATTTATCTAATTATTTCATTATGAGGTTTTGTTCTTACTTATTGTTCTTGCCTATGATTTAAGTATTTGTTGATTTTTGTCTTTATTTATGAAAGTAAATATCATTCAAATTTACAATTTGATTTGTTATTTATTTTCTAGTGCTATCTGCTAGTTGAATGTTACGTAATAGACAAGAACCGGCAGTACTGAGTAGCAATTAGACAAAGCATGTGTATTGGTGAGACATTGAATATGCATGTTAGTATAAATGTAGAATCAATGAGACAAAGTCTGAATAGTTGCAGCTATCTCAATTGTTTAGGTTTTGGTTCAACTATATTTCCTGGGTTTTTATGCTATCATTGTTTGGCATGGAACGCTATCGTACCCAGCCAGATTATGATAAGGACTGATTGGGTACTAGGCTTGGTTAGTTAATTTAGGAAATTAATTGATTTATGACGGCTATCCTAATAGATCTTTGGTTGAATGCTTAAATTGCAAGACTAGTTTTTGTAGCCTATGATTAATGAAATAATTGAGTTATCCGTCCCTTGAGTCAGAAGTCTGTTACTTTGATTTCTTTTCTTTTATTTAGTTTTTGTTATTTGTATTTCATTATCTTAGTTTAGAAAAACAATCCGAAAATCTCCTTTGCATTAATTTGAAGGAAACAATCCATCATTCCCTGAGGAGACAACCTTACTTCCTTATATTACAGTAGTTTGAAGTAGGTTATTTTATTTATGTGGATTTGACACTCCACCACCCCTTCTGTTCTGAATGAGCGAAAAAGAAAGGAATTGAATTTGGTTTTGGGTTGGCCGAACGAATTTCAGCAAAGGGTTAGTTGTCTTTTATATGTAAGAATTGTGTTTTCTTTGTATTATTTAGGTATTGTACAATATATATATATAGTACATTAAGTCATAAATCCTAACCGGCAATCCTTGAAACCCTAATTTGGTTTCCTTAAATATCTATTCTATCATTATTGTGTTCATTCATTGAGTTCTCAACCTGCGCTTTGGGATTTTGGGATTGTAATAATTTTCCAAGTTGCTCTGAACAATTTAGAATCTTCTCTTTTTGATTATAATGAAAGCAATTGTTTTATTTCTCATAATGTTTCATCTTCATATCCTCTTTCTATACCTAATTTTGATTATGTAATTTTAGGTTGTTTTAATTTGATGTTGATTTGATTTTGATGGTTCCATTTCAAGTTTTTGTGATCCACAATTGTGATGAATGCTTACTTTTGTCAGATTTTTGTTGGGAGTTCAAATACTAGAAATATAATAACAAGTACTTCTCACTTTTAGAAATTATTACTGATAAAAATGTGAGATCTAGGCAAGATTTGAAATAATACGGCAGCGTTTATTTTGTTTGAAGAAGTAGACAGGTTTAAATCTCTACATGCTATTTGTGGTAGATTGTTTGTTTGCTGCAGGTGAATTGTTTGGATATATGTACGTGGTTGGTCTCTACTTGGAGCTTATGGTGTTGTTTGGGGCTGTAATGCTGTCATGGAGAGTCAAATAATCCTCAAAGACATTGCAATTGATAAGAGCAAAACCAACAGTTGAAAATTATACCAAATATTTAGTTACAATACGACAGATGATTAACTCAAACGTCATAGAACATTCGAATTCTACAACAGACCAAGTAAATTTTGACCAAACCCCGCATCTTGTGCAGTGCACCCAATGCTAGTTTTATGGAAGAATTTGAAATACAAGAAGCTAAATCAAATTATATACCGACATTGCCCCATCCACGTATGTAGCAGAGTACATGAACCGCAGAAGATCTAAAGCACAATAAGAAAGGAAAATTGATAAACTAAATGTTACAACAGAATTTGAATACTAGTCCTCGAATAATATTATGTTAACTTCTTTTGCAGTTCTATTGTTCTCTAGATTGAACTATCTTTCCAAGACAAAATGAGTAATACTCCCTCCGTCAATTATTATTTTCCAGTTTGGATTTTAAGTTTTAATACAAGTTCAACTAAAAATGAAAATTCAAATTGGATAATAATTTTAGCAATAAAAGAGTACTATTTTGGGTCATGGACAGTTGGGATTTCTGCCAGGTCCACCGTAGTAAAAGAAATTCCCCCAAGTATCATTCTTTCCAACTGATATGTTATAACAATCTTGATTCGTTGCAGTGCCAAGAATGTTACCACCAGGAGGAGGCCCTAATGCCATTGTCTGGTTCATTATTTCAATATTCATAAAGTAGCTTGCTCTTTCTAACTTTTCATTTGGGAATTGGCCATTTCCCATTTGAGTTGCAGTGTGTGTTCCGTTTATCATTGAATTTATGATCTCTCCACCGCATTCGATCAATTGAGCACTATCATTTAATCGATTAAATAAAGTAGCAGGCCAGTAACCAACAGTAGTGCCATTGTATTTTAGCCACCAAACGTCTTGTTTTTGGTCCTACACAAATTTGAATTCAATCGATATAATTAGATTTAAATTATTTGTAGTTTCAAATGTAACATTTTCCCTTGGAATCAATAGTCAAGAAAGATATTTCATAATAGAAATGAAGAAAAAGTAAACAACTATATTTAATTTACCTTCCACACTAATATAGAAATTTCTGAGTAGAGATGATCAGACGAGAAATTGGCAATGGCGCCCCCTACTACAATTTCATTGCTAACTTGAACAAAACCTGAGCACATCAAATTCCAACACCCGGTTGACGTGTAATCATCGCTCTGTCAATGCATCAATGTAACCGTTTTAGATTATTTTATAATTAATGATTGTTGTAGAAACAATATAAACCCATAAAATGTTAAAATTGCTTTAGTTTAAATAAAAAAAAATTTTACATTACGACATACGGATTATTTACACGTATTAATGAACAATTAAGCAATAAGTTCTCAAAGACTTACAGTTCAATAAACGAAAAGTCTTGTGTGATTATCCCATAGAAGATGAGGGAAAACCTGCAGGGTTTTAAAAGTTCAAACGAGGTGAAACAAATCATCCTTAACTAAAGGGGGTACATCAAAATCAAAAGCTAAGTAATTCAGAACGAAATATAAAGCTATATTCACCCTCCATCTTCCTTTTCTCCCTTAGAACCCAATAACCGCCATCCAACATCACTTAACCGCTCATCAAACTGCCCTTCATCTTCACATTCATGGCCTGTTTCTATCATCCATCATCCCATTGAAACAGTTTCCTCTACATCTTACAAATCAGTTGATTTCTCATCCAAAACCAGTGTCCTTTATTCTGATAATGATGCCCTTGAATCTATGGAAACCCCTCCTCAAACAGTTTCTGCAAATCCTGCCCTAAATCCTCCAACTCTTGTTGAGGAAATTGTTTCTTCCTCTGATCCAAATACTCATCACCCGGAACCTTATCCCTCCCAAACTCAGTTACTAATTCCATCTCCTCAATCTGAAACTATACTGCATTCTGCCAATTTCCCTCCTATTACCACAAACCTTTCAGACGTACCTCTTCCTTCAAGCATCGCTGATGATGTTACCAACAATCCATTCTTCACATAGGGTTGCCATGCACTTACGGTGACTTTTGTTCCATAATACTTTCCTCCCATGGCGACGGTTGAATACGCGTACTAAGATATAGGATCGTACATGAAAACCAATTATGAATTAATTTATAAGAGAAAGAAAAATGAAGCATTTATGAAAATCGAATTAATTTTTGTGAGGCGGTACCTCGTGAACGGCGATGTCAACGGAGTCCGAGCCATTTGAAGAAGATAATGGACGATTGTTAATGTTTCTATGCCTCTTTTTAAATTTGAAAATATTTCTTAAAAAATCATGTTTTCCGGTTCTTCTAATAGGGATGGTTCCGTCGGGGCACTCGCCGGAAAGTTGCCATACATGAGTGATGGTTTTTTGCTTTGTGTTCGCGTTTGAGGCGGACATTGTGTCTTGGTCGCGAAACAGTTCTTCTGGACCGTAACTCGGTTTCATCTGCCAAACCAATCCAGTTTGTTAAGTAGTTTATTTTTTACGTGCATCTAATTCAAAACCAATTAGCAATCGATCCGCTAGAAATGAAGCAACAATTATTCTAATCTCTTTCCCGATATCAATTTATGTCAAAGGGAAGAAACAAACCAAGTAGCTGACCTACCTTCATCGTGTGATTTTTAAGCAATGGATGATCAAATGCTGGTTGATCAAAGATTTCAACACAATCGATCACATCTCCGTCTTCACTCTGCGAAGGAGGAGTTTAAGTATGACATAAATATTGGTCAAAACTACGACGGAATATGCTTAAGGAAATATACGTACGGTTTGTTTTTCATATATGTATTTAAAAAAGTGTTACCTATGTGGTATCATGATCCGCCAGAACGAGTTAGGCCTTGGTTGTATCATGATTTAATTGGAGTATCGTATCTTAGAAATGTACTAGTTTGATTATAGGCTGTGAGCCTCTCATTTTGCCCAAAAAAAAATATTAATAATAAATAATTATAATAATAATAATAATAATAAAAATGTGTTACCTAGCTAGCTATAAAGGCTTAAGAGAGAAAGTTTAGAACGATACTTTATTAGAACGTATTGTACAGTACTGGATTTGGGAAGCAAACGTTTAGACTAACATGCAAGATTGCAATGGATGTCCTAGAGATCATTTTTCTTTTATTTCACTGAACTTATTAAAATTTTCCTATGTACCATAATAATCAGAAACTCCTGAAATCAGGTACTATTGTTTTCTCTTCAGTAAAAATAATTAATTAGGGGTACGGTCACTTACTTTGATGGACTTGCGAATGTGATTCGATTGGCGCAGCTTCAATGCATCACTTAACATAAAAGTGACAAACACCGTGATGAAATAGAGGAGATGCAACCCCTTAAACTTCATTTCCCAAGAATCAGCAAGTACCATATAAAAGTTCTTGTAACTATAAGCAAACTTAAGTGCAGATTAATGATCGATGTTTCGTTATATATATAATTTATATTTTCATTTCAAATACTTTGTGTATTGAGATAATCTCACGTAGTAACTAGGAGTGTTTACACAATGTTCTGAATTCCAATTCATGTCTTTTTGGAATCAACTTGTTGGGATTTATGAATCGCATTGTGGACATGACGAAAGAACATGGATCTGGCACATTTAGCTTGCGCCGCGAGTATTAATGATGCAATTTTAACTGTATACATATTAATGGATTCGAACATATAGTATTCAAACATTGAATCGTCCGAAAAACAAGTAGGGGTGTCAATTTCCGACACGACAACACGATTTACAGAGACAACCCAACATGACACGACACGATTGATACAATTTGAGCTTTTATTACATTTTTGCTCCAAAAAATCTTATGAACCCTGTGGAATAAATAACACGAAATTGACCCAATCAATAACTCGAATTGACACCCCTAAAAACAAGTTACCATTATTCAATAAGGCCAATTGGATGGCTACAAAATGTTTTGGAAAGCAGTTTTGGAGGGTTAGCATAAAACTTTGAAGAAAAAGTTAATTTAGTGGAATTAGTAAGTATATAGATAGTTTCTAAGTTTGTCAACCAACTGTTATTTTTCAGTGGTTAGCGTAGAGAAGACGAAGTTTAAAAGTATCGTACACATTTATGTCTCCTCAGTTTTTAGATTATATATATACTAGTGATGTCTGGTCGCGCATTGCGCGACCCTGGCCCAATATATTTGTAGATCTTAAAAATATTTGTATCTGAAAAAAAATATTTTGTATTTGGCTCAATATATTTTAGAAATGTTTGGAGAATTTAGAAATGTTTTATATGTGTGATCATAGACATGTTTGTGGCATAAAAAGAAATTGTATTTGACCCGGTACGTTTTAGAAATGTTTGAAGATTTAAAAATATATTATAAGTGTTACTTCTTAAATATAAATAAATTGATCAAGTATATGTCTTGGAGTAAATGCTAGACAAAATATAAAAGCATCCTAATAAGTTTAAATATTAGTAAGATGATTTATTAATATTCTCCATTGGTTGTACCAAATCAATACTTAGTTTTGGAGCTTTATAATAGCTTTGTAGTAAGCTTCTTCCAAAAGGTATACGCTTAATTATTAGAACTATTTCTTCCAAAAGTTTATAGATAGTAATCAAAAATATGATTTTAAAACTGGTTAATTGTTGTAACTGGTTGATCACAAATATGAGAATGAAAATAATGTAAATTTGCATAGGTTTCAAGTTATAGCAAAAAAGAACTCACATCACCATGTCAAATAAAAAAAAAAAGTAAAAGATAGCCCATTAAGAATTGAGAAATTTATTTTTTTCTGAAGGTAAAAATGATGTATAACAAATACAAATAAACGTTGAAACATCATTCCTTTCCTCTCCACCTCAAATTCATAAAAGGCTTTCCCATAAATTAGTTAGAAAAAGCGATCTGAACTATTTATATGATGAAGAACTAAAAAAAGTCCAAAAACCAAATCCAAAAAAGTATATTCTTGAAAGCCCGAACATAAAAAAAAATGCACTTCATTTGCAAATAAAATTAAATAATAATAATAATAATTGGTCAACTGGGAGTATGAAACAAAATCAAAAGCAATTAGACAAAAAAAAAACACACTTCATAACTGACCATATACGGAAAAAAAAAACAGAGACTCCATAATTAAAAAAAAGAAAACGACTCTAATTGAATGAAACATTAAAAAAAAAAAAGAAATTTTAAAAACCACACTATGTAACAAAAACCCAATTAATCAATTCAATCCAAAAAGAACTAAAATCATAAAAATTATAGGCTAACTAACCATATAAGAACTCACATCATATTACCTGACAACGGTTACGGTAGCTATAACGGATGGATGCATAAAAATAATAGTAATAATACTATTATTGAACGGAAAAAACAAAAAATAATAAAAGCCAAACAAATGATTTGTGAAAATAAAATCGTTTAAATTTTAATACGTGTAATGGCACCACCACATCGGCCGAAGCAAGATCAATGAAATTTTTTTTTTCTCCTTTGTGTTTATATAGAGAGGTAAAGAGAATATTTTTTGAAGTCGAAATTTTATCCGATTAGGATGTAGTTGATCATCACTAATGAAAAAATTGAACATGCTAATAGGAAAGGAGTATATTTCACCACATATTCTCAATTGATGATTGATGAGGAATTTGTTTTTTTTTTTTTATTGTGGAGAAGGGATTGATTAGAAAGTCGATTGTCGTGGAGATGGGGATGAGGATTTGGGTTTTTTATGAACCCGTGATTTTTTTTTGGCGAAAATAAGAGGTGGAGGTGGATTTGGACTGCATTTCCCTTTTAAGTCTAGGAGATGTGTAAATAAAAATTTATTTTAAAAATATGATATGGAAATACCACATGGCAAATGGTGGTACTTTCTCTTAAGTGTGGTTTTTATTTCTAATATAGTAAGATATATATATATTAAACAAAAAAAATTATTTTATTAATAATAAACAATATATATATAGATATATATATATATATATATATATTCGGAAATGACAAGTGCTTGAAATTAAGAAGAATGAAAAATATTGAGTTCTCTTCTTATTATAAAATACCATTTCTTGATTTGTTCATGTTATCCTTGTGCAGGGGCCATGTTTTTTTTTGAGGAATGAAAATTTCATTTAATATCTAGAAAATCGTCTAGAATGAATTGAACAAGAGGAGCAAGATACAATTGATGAGTACAATCTTACATTTGATTGATAAATCATATGAATATACTCGTTATGAATAAATCTATACAGATCTACGCATAAATCAGTATGTGAATGTATGTCGTACCAAATTAAAAATTTAGTCTCGAAAAAAAAGAAACATCTCTTAAATTTTTGTGTAAAGCTCTAATCATCGATCTAACAAATACATCAATAGGTGATTCTCCTTGAATGTGAACCACAACAAAGCACCGTACACTTGAGCAACGAATCTGGATCCATAAACTGCAACTCGCCGATGAACAAATTGTGATCTGCAATCCCAAGATCAATTCTTTGCCGGAACCGCGATCCAATTAACTAAAAGCAAAAATCAAACCGAAAACAAATATGGAAATAATCCACTTATTCTTAACAAGAAAATAAAAGTATTTGTTTCCCCATCTCCCATTAATGAAAATTTCATTTATAGAAGATGGGGGGATGATTGAAAATTTTTTAGGGTTGAGGGGAGAGGGGCGGCGGCTGAGAGAAGGGAGGGGAGAGTGTTAGATTTAGATTTAGATTTATCGGATGTCCCCCAAGGGACTCTTCCTATTATTATAAACTCTCATTGATTGTATATCATGTTATCTTCCAGTTGTCTTTCTCAGATTATAGAGTACAAGTTCAAGGTGCACATTCCTTGTAGCGACGGCATGCATTCTTTTGGTCCTTTTTAGTGTTTTGATGATGAAGAATCGAACCACTCAACAAATGAATGAAAAGAGTAAATTTAGTTGAATAATAATTCAATCATTTATCCCGGATATGCTACCATACAAACGACATGCAAAAAATTTCCCACACTAAGTGGAAGCAAAAGATTCTGTTATCTATATAGTGTCTACTACAACCTCCTCGCATGACAATCAACCTTTACGAGCTGACTTTGCAGTGCTATTACTTCCCCCTCCATTCTGTACCTCCTCTATTCCTTCCCTTGTTCTTGGGATGCCCTTCTCCTCCATAAGCTCTTCGACCATCGCTGCTTTCGCTATTCCTTTCACTAAATTCTTTGCTTTTACGGTAATAACCACGTCCACCATTATCGTCACAAGAGCTCCCGTTAGAAGGAATCTCCCCTTTCTCTTGGCCTCTCAAGTTTCTAGAGCGAAATTCTCCACCTGTTCCTCTGGTGCAAGATCTTTTTAACGAAATTCGGGCATCGAAACCTTTAATTTTGAGCTTGCGAGCGTCTGCTGCACTTTTAGCTGAAACTTCAGATTCAAACAGCACGAATCCGCAACAGAATCCATCCATTCGAAAAGTTTTAATCTGAATGTCAGATGGCCTCGCAACCCCAAAGACCTTCACTGCTTCCGCCAGTTCATCTTTTGTTATGTCCTTAGACAGGTTTTCTATATAAATGGATCTAGCTCTGGAGTCTTCCGAAGCCATATTGTTTCTGCTAATAGAACCTTGGGCATTAGAAGTTTGATCTTTTGTCCTTTTAGCATTATTTGATTTGGGAGACACAGTTGATTGTTGGTTTGGCGCCACCCTACTATTTTATGAGGATGATTATGCGTAGAAGAAGTAGGGTTTTTCTCTTTTGTCAGCATGGATGCATAGGACAATTTCTAGCCCTCAACTTTCTCAGTGTCATTGGGGGTATCTGGCTCCTTTGAAGCAATTTGGATCACTTCTAGGGTTTCCTTAATACTATTAGCAATTTCTAAGGTTTCCTCAACATTGTCCGTAATTTTAGCGGTTATTGGGGCTTCCTTCAATGACTCATGAGGGGACGAAACACCGTCAAAACAACTCGAAGAAACATTCAAGATCTCTTGTGTGTCTATTATGTGCAAATTATCGTTCAAGAGGAACCATCCGATCTCCTGCTTGGCAAGAAAAAATGTCTGGGAGATAATCCTTTTCACGTTGTCTTTCTCGAGTGAACAACCGGTTGCTGTAAGGATGACACTCTCCATTAAAGAAAATTGAGCATCAACCTTCACAACCTTAACCTCACACCCCTTGTAATCAGAAGACATAATTATTTCCCTTATACCATCGATAGTTGTTGTCGTTGTTGATGACTCAACACCATCCCATCTTATTACACTTTCTTCTTTGAAGAACCCGTAAAGCATCTCAGGTGTTTTGTGTAAATGTTCATAATACTTCTTAAGAAACCCGTCTGCCATGGTTTCCGCATCTACTATAACCCCCTAATACGGCTTCTTTTGATTCATGGTTTGCCATCTCTTGGAGAAGATAGAGATCAAGACGAGAATAATAGTATTGAATTTAAAGACGAAAACAAATCTAGATAAACGTCAAAAACAAAAGTTGGAGAACAATCATATAGAATAAAAAAACTACTGGGAGCCCGGGTTTATATAGAGAAGTAGAGGGAGTCAAACAAGGAAACAAATCATAGGATATCCTTTGCCTATTCGGTAATCGTAATTAATTTTCCTTTTCCTTCTCTGTTTCAGTTCTCTTCTTTTCTTTTTTTTCGTTTTTTTTTTCGGTGAGAAGCAGACCCAAATAAATTCTTGGATTGGAGATGTTTTTAGTTAGTATATGGTTGCGTTGTGGTTTCCTAGTTATAGATGTACTTTTACTTGATTTTTTATTTAATTACTTTAAAAAATATATTAACTAGTAATCTGAAAAATGTGAAAAATAGAATAAGAAGGAAAAGAAAAAAATCAAAAGCCAAAAAGCAAAGATCACTGTTTCTTATTGTTTATTATCTTCTTTGAGCAAAAAGAAATTGATAGCCAAAAGGACTTGGTATATCCAACAGAAAGAGTCATGCTTGATGTGGACCCAAAATAAGAGACTGAATTACAAAATTAATGTTATATTTGAGGACTGGATCACTGGAGTAATGAGTTATTTAGATTAACAATTAGAAACTCATGTAAGATATTTCCCTCAAAACATTGGGGTAAGTTCTAAGCATTAACTAAATGTGGGCGTCAAGCATGCCGCTAATTTGCCCCGCGCCAATGCTTTCTCACAAAATAATGCGCCATATATTGGAAGTTCTTCATCAATGAGGTATATTTCTCTTTACTTTCTGCAGTTTTGAGAATTATTTATTTCCTCTTCATCTCTACTAGTATAACTTCGTGGACTAATTACGGTATAAACGGAAGAGAGTTTAAGCGTGAATGATGATCTATTAGTTTCGGGAATGAAACATTTTATTATATCTGTAAGGGAATGGATGATATTTCTTCCGTCACGAAAAAAAAATCCACATGGAGCCTTTAAATTAATATTAAAAATATTACAAATTTCAAATTAAATTTAATGTGAATTTTTTTTCCGAGTATTATTTACCATACTAAGTCTGCTCAACAATCAATGGTCGCAGTACTCTATCTGTCTTATCGGTTTTTTTTTTTAACAGCAAAAAACAATTTTATTAATAATAAAGAAAATTAGGGCGGTGGATGTACTAAACCCTATATCAAATACAAATTTAATAAAGCTGAATCCCTATTCAATCTTGCAGACCGACGTACTTTAACTTCTTTTTTTTTTTTTGCCTTGGCCTTTTTCGAATGATTGTGATATGTTGGAGCCGAAACTTAACTATAAAAAGACTCTTGTTCCATAGCATATTCCATGTCGAAATATTCATCATCAGAGCCATTAAAAACATGATTTTGTTCGGCTTTGGAATGGATTTGATCAATCGAATAACTTGAGTTTGTAGCATCTGTATTTCTTCCTATCTCCGTGCCATCTTTGGATATATATTGTGTATTTTCCGGAGCTGAAAAAGGGAGTAATACTTAGAGAATTGGGATTTGTGGTTTAGTGGGGCATGAGAATTCCCCAGCTGCGGGATTGAGTTTTTTTGTGGAGCCTTTTTGGGAGTTATTTTTGGAATAATTCTCTTCATTATCTGAAGTAGAAATTCGGGGAGAGTTTGACTCCAAGTTTCCATCCGGATCAGATTGAGGAGTGACTAACTTCTCCTTATCCTCTTCAAAATTTGAAGGAGCCAGCTGCTTTGGCGTTGACTGCGCAAGTGAGGCTGAATTCACGGGACTTTGTTGTTCTAACGGTGGACTTCCCATCGCTGAATTGCGCTGGATCTCCTTGACTTTCGATGATGAAACTTCACCACTATGGTGGAAAATCCACCAGTGATTCCATAGGCGAAGAAGCTCGCCCGCCGCTGCTGGTAGCATTGATTGAATCCATGGGAGACTGGTCATTATCCTTAGCATTGATGGGAGTATTTTTCGAAAATACTTCTCCAGAATTTGAATGAATTGATTTTAGGATTACAGGAGAGGTGTCATTGATGGGGGCGTTAACTGCGGGAGAACTTTGGAAATTTTCAGATGAGTGTGAGTTATTTTGTTTCAAAATTTGAAGAAACAGAAAAGATTGGCTTTGAGGCGCTGATTGCGCAGCTCGAACAACCACGGAAGGCGCGGAAGTTGGTTGAACCTGGGAGAGAGAGTGCGAGAGTTGAGGATTTTCGGAATTGGATTGCATTCGAGGAGCTGATTGCGCAAGATCAGGATTCGGGTGAGAGTTTGGATGAGGCTGCGAGACTCTAGGGTTTTCCTGCCCGACGCTTGTTACCGGAGACTTCCTCCGACCGTCCACCAATGGAGACTGAAGTGTTACTTCCGCTGGTTGAAATTCTTTCGCTGGAAACTCATCCGCCAATATATTCAGCCCTTCATCTTCAGAACAATCTTCATCATCCATATTCCCCGTTTCTGCTAGGATTCCAAACTGATTTTGACACCTGTTTTCATGAGCCAAAACAGCAATCTTCTTCCTTCCCGCATCATCTTCCTCATTATCAACATCAACAAGAGATTTCTCCGTCTCTTGATCTCCAGAAATGGCAGCATCATTCGCAACATCGACTGGAATTAAAGCCTTTTCTTTCTCTGTTAAACCCGACGATCCCGATTCCCTTTGCATTGCTTGCGATGGTTCCTGCGCTCCAGTTCCTATTTGTGGGGTATTTTGCTTCATCTTGAGAGATTGTTTGATTGGGATTTACCTTGACGACATTCCTACTTTTTATGCCCCATTTTGTTGCATTTCATACAATAAGCCGGTACATATTCGTAAGTGAAGAGTTGATCGTGTTTCTTTCCCTTCTTGCCAATCTTGATCGACTTTGGATAGTCCTTGGTGAGGTCGACTTCTACACAGAACCGGGCTACCGTGTCATATTCAACGTTGGTGTGTCAACTTGAAGAGGCTTACCTATGGCTGTGGCAATTGAGAAAAGAACCTGTGGCGTCATGAATTAAACAGGAAGCTCATGTAACGAAACCCAAAATGGAACCAAAGGGGGGTCTTCTTCGAACTTGAAACCTGGCTGCCATTTAAGAGTCCTCATCTGAAAACCTTGGATAGGCCAAGCCGTTTTAATCAAACATCTCTGATAGTCATCTTCACGTTCAAAACGTATTAAGATGTGCGGAGGGTTCATCAAACCAATAAAATAGTTTCCACAAAAACCTATTTTATCAAACTCCTTTCGCACTTCTTCCATCTTTGGCCTTCCGGAGGAGAATTTCCCAACAAGGTTCAGTCAGTGAGGAGCTACAAGGTTCTTCTTCGTCGTTAAACTCAAGCACAGGAGAGCCATTAACAAACTTCACCTGTTTGAATTTTTGATTCACTGCAAGTTTTGATGCTGGAGGTTTATGGAATAAGCTAGCAAAGGATTGAAGCAGCCCAGAAGGGGCTGCCTCTTGATCTCCGGCCATTAGGCCGCAGAATCAGTGAAAGCCTCCGCCGGCGATTGGCTATGTGGCATGGAATAGAGGGATTTTTTGGTTAGCCGAGAGAGAGAGTCACTACCAAAAGTGGAAAAAATATTTGTTAATTTCGGTTGGAGGAACAGTTTTTCGCTCATCGCATATCTTTCAGCTAAAAGATACGATATTCCCCAATTCCAAAGATCCTATATATGCTCTTCCATGACTTTAAATTTGTACTCTCCCACATATGTAAAATAATTTTCTTAAGAAAATCTCTTGGTTGCCAGTAAAAGAAAACTGACTACTTTAAAATATTTTGGGATGAAATCGACTAGAGGGTCAAACTTTAAGATTAAATCGGCCATTTTTCTGTCGAAAAATACTAATTTTTGATCGGAAGGATGAAATTGGTCAAAGCGTTAAATATTAGGATGAAATTGACCAGCTTAAAATATTTTGAGATGAAATTGACAGGAGGGTTAAAGCTTAGGACTAAATCGACCATTTTTCCGTCAAATATCTTTCAAAGTTGATCTTTACTTGTAGATTTTACATAGGATTAAGAAAGCGTTGTACAAGTAGTTTTTAAAACAGTAATTAAATGAAACTTTTTAAAAATATCATTTGTGGCGGATGATGCTTGATATTACATTTAAGTGATGGTATATTGCACCATCTTGGTTGGAATAAGGAGTGATTGAAAAAAAAAAAAAAAAACAAACAAAATCACAAATGATTGAAATGATTTCTTCATAGATAAAGACAAGAAATCAAATTCCAGAAGAATAAAGCGACTCAGAAGAAATATATATGTCGCTCCAATAATTTTATTCATATACTCCAAACAGGTTTTCTGTTTTCTTCTGACAAAAGAGAAAAGGCAACACCCAAATAAATTAACTCGAAACCATTCTCGGATAACATTTCCGAATATTTTCACGGTTCAGTCACGTACGCACTTTAGTTAATCACACCAAACATAATGGATAGACCATTTATTTATTCATTCATACACTGAACAAAATTTTGGAGTTTGCAAACCACTTCGAAAGTCCACCTTTATTTCCATCAAAACGAAAAACTTCATCTTCAAATCTTCATCCATTTTTAGGTCTCCAATTACGGGCAATTCAAATTCCTTCCGGGTCCTCCATAGTAAAAGTAATACCCCCAATTAACACTCTTTCCGACAGCAATATTGTAACAATTTGAATTGGTCGTAGCACTGCCTATACTTGGAGGAAATACCAAAGTATTCTTATTATTCACAACAAGAAGGTTTCTGAAGTAACTTGCAAACCGGAATCCGGCTTGTGCAAAACGACCGCTTCCCATGTCGGTCGCAGTATGTATTCCGTTGACATTGGAGTTTATAATCTCTCCACCCCATTCGACTAACGAAGCAGTGCCCTTTAGAAGCGTGAATATGGAATTAGGCCAGTAACCCACTATGACGCCGTTGTATTGTAGCCACCACACGCTTTGCCTTACATCCTGAGATATATATATATATATATATATATATATATATATATATATATAGTGTTTCAACGAACGGATTCCGTGATATGATAAAAATGAAAATCTAGATTAGACTGTTATTTCTTGATATGAAATTAACATGTGTATGTAATGTACCTTCCAAATGAGAATGGTGACTTCTGGTTGAACGCCGGTTGTAACGACGGCACCACCGATTACCATTCTATTGGTAATTTGCACAAAACCGGAGCAGCGTAAATTATAACACCCGGTACGTTGATAACCATCTCTCTGTCATGAAATGGAGAAAATAAATCAAAACCACCAACTTCCGATTACTTATTATGGAATAAATGTTTGGTAAAAAAATCAGTTAAAGGGTCTCAAAGGAGTTTATTTTGACTTACTGTCCAATAAACGAAGAGTCTTGTGCGATAATCTCCAAACACGGCAGGGTCTACCTGTTTGTTGCAAATTAACATAACATGTTAGTGATGTTTGAAGACTTAATCGCTGTTTTACATAAATTAATGTTGTGTCACTAGCTTCGATCATACACTTAATAAATGTGCCACAATATAAGATAATGAATTTTCCAAAAAAAAAATTGATGAAATAATTAGTAAACAGTACAAGGTACCATTTTTCAAAAAAAGGGGGGAGAGGAAGAAAACTAGTTAGCAAAAAAAAAAATGGTAGACAACAACTTACAATCAAAAGCAAGAAATAGAAAATAAATGTGTGGAAATTCTTCTTGTCGGAAACTTTTACTGCCCACAAATTAAATCATAAATTTTGGGAGGAATTACCGTCCAACCAGCTTCAATAGTGTTGAGATTTACGCCAGAACCAGCCACGAGCCAGATCTGAGACAAGCTGAATTCATTGCGCCTCTCAACGAAAGGTTGCCACGCGCTTATGGTTGCTCTTGCTCCGTAATAGCTTCCTGTTGGGGTGTACGTATACGCGTACTAAAAGGGTTTGCAATAAAAATAAAAAATATAAACGATATATAGTTGACATTGGTTATGTTAAATAATTTGTAGCAATATTACATGACATTATCATGTTTTGTTGCAGTTGACTTTTGACAAAGTCAACCTCATCGTACAAGTATGTCACCACAATGTTACAGAACATTCTCTACGCCTTTTTTTTTCCCAAAAAAAATGTACGTGAAGACAAATATCTTACACATGAGTACTGCCAACCAGCATTCCCTGATCTTTTCATACCCCAAAAAATGCGTGCCACTAAATTTGCTATTTCTACACTAACAAAATACTCATTATGTCCAAAATGGTTCTCTTGTTTATATTTTTATTTTTTAAATATAAATTATACTGAAAATAAAAATTCAAATTCAGAAAAAATGTTTGGTACGAAAAAAGTATCATTAATCTAAAACATAAGGATCAACCGAAGAACTGATAGGATGCGACTTGCGAGGATGTACCTCGTGACGCAATTGGTTGACGGCAGGCTTTCCATCTGAATTAGAGACAGTAGGAGGAGTTTTATGGTGTGGTCTTTTAGCGGCGTTTCGTTGTTCTTCACTGATTCTTCTAATCGGAATAGTTCCCTCTGGGCACTCCCCACTCAACTGCCATAACTGGGTGATTTCCTTTTTCTTATCATCAATTGATTTTGGCAGTACTCCAGATGGATGATTGCTTGGTTTCCTCTGCATGAAAAAGCCATTTATGAACAAATATGTTCACTAATTCATGTTCCAAATCCGTCGTGAGTAGTAAAATCGATATGGCTAAGTCACGATGCAAGCTCATAATAAAGCCTAACTGACTTGATTTGCTATAGTCAGTACGTACGATTAATTGCAAGGCAAAATGGAACTTAGAGAAAAATAAATTGTTACAAAATCAAAATGAACTTCACCACATTGAGATGCATGTATACGATCCAAAACACAACTAAGCTATTACTAAACCTTAATGATGTGTCCTTTGAGCGAGGGATGATCAAATGCTGGCTGATGGTTGATGTCTACACAATCGATCACGTCTCCGTCTTCACTCTGCCAATATTTAAGAAGTGAAACTATTCGTGAATATTCCAAGCACACGCTGGATCGATCCTATACTATTATATTAAAGTGACAACTTATGTTATCCTTTGTCCCATAACAATATCTCATTTTGTTGTACTGTTTTAGTTCAACAAACTGACTATTTTTCTGGGACCAAGAAAGTGTGTAAAAACTTCATGAAGCTCCTCATAGTTAGAGAGTAAGATCAATTTTACTCACCTTAATGGTCTTGATAATAGTGTTATTTTTTGAAGCATCACCCAATTTAATGGTGTTGGTGATGACGAATAATATGAGAAGGAAAGACAAATACTGTCCCTTCAACTTCATGTTTCCAAAAGCAAAGTCAAGTTGCAAACAAAAGATACTACTATCAAAGAGAGGGAGATGTGATTGATAGTTTCGGCGGAACATCCATATAAATAAGCGATCGAAATACATCATGTTTGCATGTAAGGTATAAAATCACTTCATTAATTAATTCTGGAATTAATTTAGTGAGCAAGTTGCAGATTTAAATACTAAGTTGGAGTAGTAGTTTATATGTGTGGGGACTTTAGATGCTGGAGACTTAGCACTCCGTACGTCTGGTCTCTAAAGATATAAAGAGAAAAGAAAAAACTCTGTGGAAGGATATAATGAGTACAATAAAGGGATAACAATCCTCTATAGTGGAGGGGAATTCATGGATTTAATTTGTGTTGTATGATCCCAAATAAGTGATTTAACCTATTAAGAAGGCGGGTCTTGGCCTTCATGCCACATTAATTTTGGGGCTCCAACTATTGTAGTGATTTCTCAAATGTTCTCTCCGTTCTGAAATAATTGAGTAGTTAGGATTTTTACTTTTAGTATAATTGTACGAAAAGTAAAAATCTACAATGGATAACTATGTTGACACAGAGTAATAAATTAATATAAAACAACAAGTGGCGGGATACTTGTCCAAATTAACCAGCAAATCGAATTTGTGTTATCCCAAGTTATTTCAAAATGATAAGTATGTTCATCCCCTTCTGTCCTCTTACTTAATTTGTATTCGCTTCAGGACTATCAACCTAGCAGAGCAAAATCGTTCATTGAAACACGATGAACGCTGATCATAAAGGTGAAATGGCTCAATTTCAATCCAGATGGAGGGACCAACAGTCTAAATAATAAAACAAACATAATGTTACCTTTGATAAACAGCATGTCATTAACATGCTTTTTTTTCGAGAGAGAATGTCATTTTGTTTCCTCAATTCACTAAAATAATTAAACATTTAAACAAAAATATGATGGTACGACTATGATTTTTAAATAAGTACTCCCTCCGTCCCATAATTATTGTCCAGTTTTACTAAAATGAAAGAGTTTATTTTTTGTCAAACTTGACTATATTTTACCTTAAACAACCGGATATACCCTTACATAAGTAATAGTTTAACCACTAAGATTTTATGGATAATGTTTTTTATTAAGGACAAATGTGTAACTTGATCCATAAAAAGTCAAATTGGACAATAATTTTGGGACAAAATTTTTTGGGCAAAGTGGACAATAATTATGGGACAGAGGGAGTAGTAGTTTATGATTTTATAGTAATCGATTCCATACAAATGACCTGAGTGATAAAAATGTTTCATCCTCTTTCGCCCAGTTGCCGAATTGCTAGTTCACAGGGTATTTCAACTCAGTTCACATGCCGTGACGGTGGAAAGTAGGATTTACGAGCGCCGTAGAATGGTAATTTAGGTTTTTTACTTGATTTTGTAGCTTATTAATTTCAATATTCATTAACATATACTTCTTCCAACCTGAAATTACTGTCCAAATTAGATTTTTATTTTTAGTACAAAGTGAATTAGATAATGAGAACCCAAACTGAACAATAATTTTGAGACAGAATGAGTAAATAATTTAGTGGTCTCTGTCCGAATAAAATAAATTTTGTTCTTGTTAATAAAGGATAATTAAGTTACCTAGTCAAACGAGTTCTAAATCATACGCGTATTATGTACACGCTATTTGGCAATTGGCCTGATCGTCGTTAATAATAATAATAATAATAATAATAATAATAATAATAATAATAATAATGTATCAGTGAAGTATAAAGATTGAGTTTGAACGTTTCTATAATATATAGTAGATCAAATTGAATCGAAACTACAAGCTATATATATTCGAGTGACTATTCTAATGAGTTGGACTATCTTTTGAATTGGTCGTGAATTGTTATCTTGTTGTAGTACTATAACAAGTTTAGGAGACTAAATATCATCATCAACTTGATAACATCTTAATTTGATTTGGTAAAAAGGCAGTAAAATCATTACGTGTAATATACTCCAAAGAGACATCCCACATTCTCCTCGTCACGCAAGTTCCTACTATATATCAATCCTCTGACTTCTTTTGTAAGCTGAATTGTACTACATGTTGGACAAATACCTCAACATTTCATATGAATTTTCTTCTATTTTTGGCCACTGATAGAGTAGTTTCTTTAAGACTGACATCCTAAACGATGAATGTACAGTGTCTTTTCTTTTTAAAAAAAAAAAAAAAAAGTTGCACAAACAATAAAATGAATTAATATCTGTTACTCATTTATTTTTTGATGGTGCATATAAAAATCTAATTACTCCTAAAGTCGCACAAACACTAATGAATGAGTATGTTGAAGTAACGTAACAGATTTTTTATTATTATTATTTTTTTTCTGTTTGGACGGAGGAGAGAAAATTGACACTTTTTTGGTGTTAAGTGAATTTTATATAAGCCGTCCCATAATTATTTTTCATTTTGGATTTTTCATTTCTAGTTGAAAATCTACTAAAAGAGAAATCTGAAACTGGACAATAATTTTGGGACAGAAGAGTACATAATTGTGCATAAATGTAGGGATACGTAGTGTTGTGCTAGATATAAAATAACAAAATCCTTACACAAATGATTTAGTACGCAGCAAATATGAATATTTTTGTTGGTTACCTTTCTTTTCTTTTTCTTTTTCTTTTTAAACCTCCTTTCATCTTCATGTAAATTCCTCAAACAGACTTGCATCGTGGATAACGGGTGTGGTTTGACTTGATCATATTCGTGTACTATCTTAAGGATTCTCTCTAATGGTTTATGATCAGTTGGTGCGAACTAATCTCATATTCCCGGAATATTCAAGTGCAAATAGATTAGTGGTAGCTTTGATATATAAGTTCGATGAATCTGAAACATTCTTATTGAATAAGTCGGGTTTTTCTTATATATGTTCTTCCGCACAAGTCGTCTTGTATTCTTATACTACGGAATCACTTGCATTTTGGTGTGGTACATGCCTACATTAATTAACTTTAATTTAGTGCTAATTGAAATGTCGTTATTTTGGATTTCGATTCTCTCACAGGTAATGCAAACGAGTTCTATTCGTATAGGGGATATTAATTAAATTAAAAGTAGCGTTTGAATTTCGGATATTATTTGAAAAGGGAAATCCTACGTTTCAAAAAATCACGACTCGTTTTTGGGACTGGAAAATTTAATAAAATATACTTCTTAAATTTCAAAATGATTGTTTGATTTTAGATTTTTATTTTTATTATATATATTGTACTTAAAGGAAAAAAAATCAAATATGAACAATATAATTAATATTCATGTTGGAAAAGATGGATTAACTATTATTGTGAAAATCAATAGTAAAAATAAAACAAAAACAAACTTATTTTGATTCAAGCAGGTAAATCACTTTATTTTTTTATATAAAAGAAGAAATAGTTATGAATTTCATTGCAGCCAGCCATATTCATGCATCTAACCAGATAGCCGTTCATTACAAAACACCAACATGGATTGATATACTCTCTCTGTCTTAGAATATTATTCATTTTAGAATATTATTTTTACTATATAAATAAAATGAATGCAACTAAGCAATTATTTTAATTAGACTGACTGATGCTAGGTTCTATTAGACATTCCATTTATTCTAAAATGATTTTCCTCTTTCTTTACGAAAATGATACCATCAACAGAATGAGTTTTGAGGCTATCTTCTCAGACCAATTCTTGATTCAAACTGTTCAACTATATTACAATGATTTATACGCGTTTTTGGAGGGGATGACTTTGATTCTAAATCTAAACATAAATTATTGAAGGCTAGTGTTAAATGTTTTTACTTAAATCCAAGGTTAATTTTGTTAAACTTCAATTATACCCTTCCCCGCAATCACAACTTAACTATACTACTTCCTCCGTCCCATAATTATTGTCCAGTTTGAGTTTTCATTTTTAGTTCAAAATGTATTAAAAGTGAAATCTCAAACTGGACAATAATTTTGGGACCGAGTGATTACAAAATTTTTTAACCAGCCTCGTTAACCAGCCTCAACCCCCGAGTGTTGCAACCACTATAGTCTAGAATCACCAGAAATCTAAGATTCAACCACACTGAAAATGATGCCAAGTTTTGCAAAGTTTCGGAAGAGAGAATCTCAAATTAAATTAGTCGGATTATTAATTTCGGACCCCATTATGCTCAAAAAAATAATTACCATCACCCAGCCGATCGATAATTAATATGACAGTGGATTTGATTACGTAAATAATAGAAGTTATGGCTCATACCATCACCCAGCCCATGTTGAGACGTTTGGGCTTCGAAAGAAAACTACGAATGAAATACTTTTTCAGCCCATGTAGCTCTAGGCCGAACCCACAATTCAAATCCAAAATTTCATCTTCAGCCCTCCAAGTCTTCAAGTCTCTGATTTCTTCCTCATCAAATTAGTTAAGCCTTCAATCTTGCCTCAAAGTTTCTCTTTATCTCGATTTTAGCTCAAAACTTCAATAATTCTTTTATTTGAGTACAATTCCTACCATTAAAGATAAAATCACATAAATAACATATTTATGCTCAAAATATTAGCAAAATCTCGCATCAAAGGGATATAATAAATAGGTAAAATTTAAGCAAATCAGCTATATAGTTCGACGAGATCAAGGAAACCGGATTCATGCGGCATGTGGATACTTAGGGAGCCAACAAAGTTTGTATGCAGAAATAATAGGTATATTGGAAGGTCTAGGATACTGTAAGTGGCAAGGTTTACAAATTGTACATGTCCATACAGACAGCAAAGTAACTATTGACCTCCTTCGAAAAGGTAAAGACTTCCCTTGGAAGTATTCTGAAGTCTTATCACAAATAGCAACCCTAATCAGGAGGAAGAATCATAAGTTTGCACATGTGTTCGGGGAAATCAATTCAGTAGCTGATGCTCTAGCTAAGCTAGGAGCTGAAGGTGTCTTTATAGAATTCAATAGATGCTTGACGCTCCCTAATAAAGTCGGAGGGCTTATTTCACTTGGTCAGAGATCTATGCCATATTTGAGAATCCGATGATAACGGATGTAATATAGGTTTCCTCAA